TGAATGGTCTTCCGTTGTTGCGTCTGTCCCTTACCCGAGCACTCACGGCACGGGTGTTTGATGTGGAGTCGCGTCCCGCGACACATACGGCACGTGGACCTCATCACGAACGGGCCGGTGCTTATCGTTTCCATACCTGTGCCCTGACAGTAGGGACACTTAACCGGCTTATGGTCCTCAGCGCACCTGTAGGTCACGAAAGGGTATTAGTTTCACAAACAGTTAAACCACTAATAAATGCAATAAAAGTATGCATTCATTATAAAACTGATAATAATTTTTAAATGAACGGTAAGTATATTGTGTGCAAACCTGGAACCGTTACACTTGGGACACGTGTCGATGACACTGATCTTCACCTCTTTAGTACACCCTTTGGCCGCCTCTTTGAAGCTGAGACTCAACTGCAACTCCTGTGGCGCCGAGTACTCGAAGTCGAAGCCGTCGCCCGAAGACTGGGAACCATTGAAACCCTTACTAAAGTCGCCGAAAATATTGCGAAACAACTCTTCGGGATCTATATTGGAGTGGAAGCCCTGGAAACCGCTGAACCCTTGACCACCAGCCGCACCACCGGCGCCCATACCAGAGGCCGCTGTCCCGAACTGATCGTATTGTCGTCTCTGCCAAACACACCACACATTCATTACATGATAATCAGTGGCCACGAGTGGGCCATTCAATCGGTACGTACTTTAGACTCGTCGGACAGCACTTCGTAGGCCTCGGAGACCTGTTGGAAGCGTTTGGCAGCCGTGGGATCATTCTTATTGGTGTCCGGGTGCCACTTCTTCGCCAACTGGTAGTAGGCTTTCTTGATGTCCTTCCCGGAGGCACTCCTGTCCACACCCAACGTCTTGTAGTAGTCATCGGCGGCAGCCGTGGCACGAGTGGTGTGTATGTGCCGTCGATTGGTGGACACAGCGGCGGCACTGGTAGCTCCTGAAGCGATGGCTGCCCGCGAGAAGACAATCCGTGGCCACGAATGCGATCGCAGTTGTCGTAAGTGTCTTAAGCAATGGCTGGACATCGCTATGGATATGATTTTTGTCATCCTTTGAGGTGATAGTTATGACACAAACACTGGACTAAACACGGGATCAGCGAATGGTTTACGAGTTTATGGATTACTTTTGTCCGGCTTTTCACCGATTAATGCATCACTTGTTTGGTGTGAATATAATGTTTGCAAACAATTAATTCAATTGTGATTTAAATCTCAATGCAAT